CCGCCTCGCGCCGCTGCGCCTCGCGCTCCCGCCGCGCGAGCTGCGGCGCCGCGGCCGCGGCCGGCGGCAGCAGCGCGCGCGCGGCCGCCACCGCTCCCGCGGACATGGCGAGCCGCGTGTTCACGGCCGGGAAGTGGCGATGCAGCGTGTCGCCGAAGGCCTGCTCCAGTTTCAGGATGGAGGGCTTCTCGCTGAGCGGCGCGGTGAGCACGGCCGGCCAGAGCGCGCCCACGGCGTCCCAGTCCTGCTTGGCGACGAGCGGGCCGGTGCGCGGGCCCAGCATGACGTAGAGCGCGCCCTTGTGCCGCGCGTGCCACTCGTCGCCGTGGCCGCCGGCGGCCAGCAGGCGCGCCAGCCGCGGCACCAGCGCGCGGTACGAGTACGCGTAGTGGCCCAGCATCCAGTACAGCCGCGCCTGCGCGTTGACGCGCACGGAGCTGTAGGGGTGGATGGACAGGTCGAAGAGCGCGTGCAGCGCGCCCAGCGCCGTGGGCGCGATGCCCGCGTCGCACACCAGGTCGAAGCGCGCCTCGTCCTGCAGACGCGCGGCGTCGGCCAGCAGCATGCGCAGGCGCGCGGACGCGGCCGGCGCCCGCGCGCGCCCGCCGTGCCCGTCCAGCGCGCGCTCCAGCACGGCGTACGAGCGCATGCGCGCCTCGGGGCCCATGCCGGCCGCGCGCGTGCGCTGCACCACCACGCGCTCCCACACCTGGATGAGCATCTCTAGCCCGCGCGTGTCGTCGGTGCGCTCCCGCAGCAGCCGCTCCTGCACCTCCAGCAGCAGCCGCGTCAGCGCCGCGCGCACGTTCTCGCCGTCCAGCGTCACGCAGTGGCTCACGCCGGTCGTCAGCGGGAACGTCGTGGGCGGCACCAGCGACTCGGCCAGCGCCACCGGCTCCTCGTCGGCCGCCGGCATGAAGGTGCCGCAGCCGAGTGCGGCGCACAAAATGTGGAAGCAGCGCAGGCGACGGTCGCGGCACATGGGCCGCTCGCCGTCCAGCCACTGCCGCAGGCGCGTCAGCTCGGGCCGCAGGTAGCGGTCGACGAGCGCCTGCGCGCACGCCGCCTCCTCCGCGTTGGGCACGTGCCAGTCGAAGCCGGCGTCGGTGAGCAGGCAGCCGTGGCCCCACTCGCGCACCGGCAGCCACTTCTCGGGCGCCGCGCCGTAGTCCCGGGCGGAGCTCTTCCAGCCGCGGAGGTCGATGTAGCAGAGCGAGGAGAACATGTGGCCGAGCACCTCGCACGCGCGCTCGATGGCGTACGGCGAGTGCAGCTTGAGCGCGCGGTCCAGCACGGGCGCGATGCGCGCCACGTACTTGAGCAGCACGGTGCCGTCGCAGTCCAGCACGTGCAGCAGCAGCACTAGCCGGTAAAGCAGGGCGCGGGGCGGGTTCTCATCGCGCAGCGCCTCGTCGGTGGCGAGCAGCTCGCCCAGCTCCTCACACAGTTTGGGCACGAACGCGGCCAGCGTGGCCTCCGAGTCGACGCGCGCGAACACGCGCAGCAGCACGCCCACCATGCTGCCCGAAACGTTGGTCTCGAACGTGGACTCAGTTGCGAACTTCTTGAACTTCCGCAGCGCCTCGGCGAAGATCTTGGGCGAGCACTGCATGAGCACTGACGTGGCGGCGGAGGACAGCGCCGTCTCCATGACGGCGTCGGTTTTACTGCGGCCGAGCTCAGACTCGCGCGTGTCGAGGCGCACGTTCTCGCTGACGCTGGACTCGATGATGACGAAAAGGCGTTCCAGAAAGATAAGTACGAAGTCCTCGAACTGTGCGGTGGACTCGCAAGTGAGCAGCTCCTCGTCGGTGAGATCTGGCCAGTACTCGGCGGCGGCGCTGCAGTCCACGTAAGGCACCATCCAGCTGAAGACGAGGATGAAATGCAGCGAGACGAGCGTCTTCTTAATGTCGTTGGGGTCGAGTCCAGGCAGCACGGCTAGCAGCAATGGCACCACGTGAGTGGGCCCCGCGGGGTAACCATTGTCGGGCCCGCACAGCAGCGGGCGCGCTACCGCCGCCACGGCGGACATGGCGGCGGTGACGCGGTGCGGCTCGGTGAGCGACCCCAGCGCGCTCTGCAGTCGCTCCACCAGTGGCGGTACCACCAGTGCCGGCCGCAGCGTCGCCAGGTTGTGCAGCGCGCCCGAAACGTCCAACGACCCGGTGCGGCTGTACACGGCTTGCAGCGTCGGCTCCAGCACGACGCTAACGAACTCGGTGATATCCTCGTCACGTAACTTCATCTTCGGCGGAGTTTGGTTCTCCCACCGGTTTTCGAATCTCTTCTCGCGCTCACGACGCACCCTGCGGACATATGTTGTGGTTAAAATACTTGGTACTTGGTGCAACGGGCTGGTATCCGCAACTCGACGACAAAGCGCCTATTTTGCGTCTGGTGTGTTTAAAATATTTCACTTTCTATGAAAGTTTGTTTCTGTAACACTGTTTCTGTAAGTAAGATACAGATTGAGCTATGCAAAACTATATTTTAAGCTGGATATTTTAGAAGTACGTAAATTTGATGAAAATGTATATTTTAGGCCCAATGTATTAAGGTAAATTACCGGACAAGGAATTCCCTAGCGAGTTTTCGTAGTAGGTGTCGTAGCTTAAAGGACCAGCGGCCCTGATTGGCGCTGTGTAGGTAGCTCTCGACGCCACCGAGGAAGCTGCGTAGTTGGCTTAGAACTACCCCGTCTGGACGGATACTCCAAACAATCCACGATGCTATGTGCTTCGTATCTGCAACAAATTACGACGCATATACTCCGGACCCCGTTTAAACAGAAGTTTATTGAAGAATTTCATTTGAAACGATTTTATACTATACCTTCCAACTCCTCCAGATAAGCTTTGTTCCAAATAAAAAATTCAAAATTAAATGTCGCAATTGCAATCTCATTACAAACTAAGCTATGAAATATGCATTATAAATATAATTTTGCTCACAGTTGAAATTTTTAAGCTTATTAATGACATGGAAATACAAACCAATTATTACTATAAAAAGGCTCGATCAGGTGTTAGGGAATAGGTGAGCAATTGATTATAATAACTGAGTGTAGTAGTCAGACATCTGATGTGTAGTAAAAGTAATTTTATTTAAACATTGGTTTATGAGGTATTAACGAATGAGTTTGCAACAACTCAATTAATCCTTATTTCATACGCAAGCAAATTAAACTTAAAAAGAAAACTGAAGCGGCAGAAGTATGTCAAAATCATAGCAAATTAATATCCGTAATTTTAGGTTACACATTGAGAGAGGAATGACAAAATAATGTGTGCATGTGTTCGTTTACTATACACTGATAAACAGAGTTCGAAGAGATAATTCTAGGGTCGGCGGACTAAAGCACATAAGTCAAAATCCAACATCATTCATTTAAATTAATACATCTACTGGTTAAAGCACATAAGTCAAATTCATTTGTTACTTCAAAAATTTTGTACTTTATTCTAGATGTTATTTAACTTCCAACATTAAAAACAACACAAAAAAATATATAATTATATATTAACAACGAGAAACACATTTTTGACTTATGTGTTTTAGTCTGCCGACCCTAGAATTATTATCATAATTATCAGTGATCTTGATAATTATAACTTGATAATTGTCTTTATATTTATAAAATTAATTGGAACAACAAAATGCTACCGCTAGCAATGTCGTGTCATGTGTATCAGAGACGTTGTTGTTAGTTTTTTCATTCTTTTCGTAGAGAAAAAGGCAAAGGTTTGAAGTCTAGTTCAGCTAAGTCTTGGTGAATGTTTTGTTCTTTTTATTTTTATATGAATAGGCATAACGAACCAAAACTCAATTTTTAAAAAAATCACTAGTCAGTTTTCCAAAGATTTTTTTCGTGTTTATTTAGTTTTTTCACCGTTTGTCATTTTTAGTAAAAACAAAACAGACAAAACTGAATCAGCATGTATAATTATCAGATATATATTGAACAATTATCACAATAATGATTAAAGTCACAATAAATAATTAAATTTTTATTGAATTAATATTCAATTATTTTTTGTGAAATTACTCCACTAGTTTGTTATAATTATTAATACAAAGATCGAACACTCAGAAAAAACACTCAGAAAAAATTCCTTCGATCCGGTCGGATTCGAACCGACGTCTTCTTGCATACCGTGCCAGACGCTATACCAACTATGCCACGGAACGAACCAACGGACCTCACGAATTTTTCTATGTGCTTGCGTTGTTGTTCGAATCCGACCGGATCGAAGGAATTTTTTCTGAGTGTTTTTTCTGAGTGTTCGATCTTTGTATTAATAATTATCATAATAAATATTTTGATAATTTTGAACCCTGTTGATAAGCACTAATAAGTGGAGATCTGTAACATGTGCTTCCTTAACGGTAACGATAGTGTGGTGTTACTATAAAAAATTCCCTTCATTGCCCGTGGTCCTACTGCGAAGTCCTACTAGTAGTAACAAGGGAAACTTTTTTTTCTGTGGTTCTACCAGTAGCACTACGGACAAGAAATGATTATTGCATTGCTGCTTTCCTGCAGTGCCACTCAGAGCTTTAAATCACAAAGACCTGACGGGCACCGCCACTGTGCCCGTCACCCTGAGACGTACATTGACAAGTCCCATGTGCCTGTAATTACTGCGTGGCGGCATAAATAGATAAGCTGGCAGTACTTCCCTGGACGAACTCTTTCACAAGGACCTCTACTACTAAAACTATACGTGACATGAATTATACAATAATAAATAATGTACTTACACAATGAGTAATTTTTGGAGTACTGCATGTCCTTATAACTGACGGGCAGATTAAGCGCGTGGAGGAAACGCATGAACATCTTTGGTGCTAAGGGCGACCAGTCGACGGCGCCAGGATTGCGCTTCGCTAAACCCGCAAAAATTGCCATTAGATCCTGGAAATTATGTAAATTTTACATAAAAAAATTGTTGACAATATTACCAGTATTATATATACAAGAAGTAATTTTGACAGAAAACACAGGTTTATATCAAAAAATTGTAATATTGATCCATGAAGTACATGGTATAGGATTTTGTGTGGTAAAGGATGTTGGGTGAATGGCCTCCACGACTTCGCGGGCACAATCTTTCCGTGAAATTTTCGATGATCATTTTGCATTACTGTTGTTTAATCTCGTTGACACAGAGCTCAATTTTGTCCTTCAAGGCGGAGTGGTCGTGGGCTTGTTAACATAAACCTTCGATTTCAAAAAACCTCAAAGTTTTTAAATTTTTTCATATAAAGCCGTGTTTTCTATCAAGATTACATCTTGCGTGAATTTTCGGACACCTTTTTATGTATCTTTATACGGGTAGCAGGATGAAAAAGAAACAATAAATCAATTGACAACCTTAATAAAACGATATTTCGTTTACTGTGGGAAGGAGACACTGGCCGACAGCCATAGAATCAATAATACATATATTTAAGCAAATTTTAACAAACAACTTAAAATGCATGTTTTTATTTCTTACTATGAACCTGTGCTTCTTCATTGTTTATTTATTTGTTATTTATTTATTGTACTGCAGTGGCATGGTCACGCGAACTTAAGCGTCTCACTCGGTAGTTATATAATCTTAAAATGTAAAGATTCGCTACTTCAGAGTTATGTAACATATTTGTGTGTTTAACTTGGTTATAAACAGTTTTAAATTAATATATTTTAAGGCCAGCAGAAACTGTTATTGAGTACCGACACCTATAGGTAAAATAATGTATCGGTTTTTTAAATTGTTTTTTTTTTTTTTATATAATATCAAGTGACGGAACGAACATGTCATGCGCCTGGTAGTAAGCGACACGCCTATCCATAACAGTTGTAATGCACTAAGTTTTAAATCCGTTGTTTCCGGTATTCCAATAACGAAATGGAAAATACTAGGATAATACATGTATTTTTATACCGGTAGCTAGCCTTACGGCAAGAATGCGCGATTATTATTATACCTCACAACAATGGCATTTCGTCGCCTTACTTTCTCAAACTCGTATCTTAAAGAACAAAGTTACTGAAATGCTAAAAATGGATAGTATATACAAATTTTGCAGACGTTTTCACATTATATTTACCCATTGGCTTTTACTTTTTATTTTCTTTTAGTAAAGCATCCAAATTAACAACCTTGGTAAGAAATTTAAAATAAATAGAAAGTTTGGCCATCTGAATAATCACTCTTTTTAAGATACGAGTTTGAGAAAGTAAGGCATCGATCTGCATCGCTGCTAAAGTCGCCGTGTGTAACCACTCATAGAGTTGAAAAACTGAGCGTGCTCTAGATCCTGTACATGTTACAATAAGACAAACAACTCAAGCAAGTTTGACTACCAAGCAGTTCCAATAAAAAAAACACTTACCGAAATGCCACACTGCGCATTATAGCAAGTGTCCCAGAGCTCGGTAAGCTCTTCGAACCACAGCTCGTGACCGTGGGCCGCGTGCTGCGGCTGGAGTTCCACGGGTAGGAATACCGACAATTGAGCTAGAATCTGAGAGTCGTTGGCCCATGGGCAGATATGCGGCAGAAATTCAGCCAGAATCTCTTTTGTTGCAGACAAGCCGAAATATCTGAAAAATTGAAGAGGCTTGAAAAAGTGTACTTAGTACTTTTACTTTAGAAAACTACAGATTGGAAATTAAACTACGGGTCTAAATCGCGTATACAATGTTTTATTTTAACAACCCAATGTTTTTGGTGCGCATTTGACCTCCATTTACCTGATGGAAAGTGACGATGGAATGAACCATGCACACCTATACAATGCCTACTCGCTCTCGCCTTGATAAGGCCCAAGTTATACCGTTCAGGGAACAAGTCTGTAGGCAGGGAATTACACTCCATAGCCGTTCGGCTTATAAATGTGGAAGCGAAACGCTTCCTTGGAATATCCACTATTTGCGTGGAACCCCAGCCTACGACTAGTCCCCCGCTGATAGAAAGGGGAAGGCGGAATTAATTGTGCAATGCCCGCGCACGCTCTCCTTGATATAACCTGGTTTTAGGCTCGGGAGTATAGTTTGTTTAAAAAATACAAATATATGTATAATTTACATATAAAAAAAATAGTTTCATTTGTAACCAACTCTAGTTAAACTAGAACAGAATTATAAATAGAATGTATGTTATTTTTTCATTGCAATTGGACACATGACAACTAAAGTTGTATATTACATTAATGAATATTTTACTATTTTTAAATAATTACAAAATACTTACGGCCTTGCGTTCTTAACCATCATCAAATACGACGATTCCAACGACCTGTGAATATAAAACAAAATATTTAAAAAATACATATGGAATAACAGAAAAGGACAAACATGCCCCTGCAACCCGACCAGACAAAGCTGATGATGATACAGTGATGATATTTGCCCACACCATGTGCCCAGAGCCCAGTAAGTAAAGGAGCCCATTCATTGATCTACATATTGCCCGATAGACGAAGTTTTGAGAGGAAACAAGATTTTTTTTTGGTGTTTTTGAGACCTTAAAACGTGAAACTGAAACTAGTAACACAATAATGCGTCTCAGGCGTGTCGATGTGTATTCATTTCTTTTTTCAGTCTTCTGAAAAATACATAACACACCTAGAAATGTAGTATGCAGTCACATATTTATGATTCCACACGACTTCTGCAATTGCAAATAATACTAGGAGAACAACAGACAAAAAAGTTTACTTAGCCATCTGACTCCATTCCCTCAACCTTTACCCTGCCTATCGAGCAACACATAGAATGATGAATGACTAGCTCAAAATCATTACGTCGGCAGCTCCGTCTCGTCGGGCCCGGCGATACCGAGCAAGTACATAGCGTCATCGAGCCCGTCTCCCGATAGGAACTTGCGGATCATGTCCAGAATATCGCTCTCTTTGTTGCCTTGCCCATAACGTTTTTGCCTAAATACAGATGTTTTTGTTAAGAGCGACATTCACTACCTTACAAATCGATAACAGAACAATTTGTTACACACAATAAACGTGAACATTAATAAACGAGAAAGAAAGGCTTAACTTTGCAGCACACTGCCCTTCATTGTCAGTGGGTAGTGAAGTACCCACTTTAAAGATTTTTAACTTATTCATTACATTCAGAAACATAAGACAGTCACGTCATAAATATTCTAATGATCAATTAAAGTCCAATAATGATCATACATAATGCTATCGTATATAACACAAAGTATTCGATATTTATTTAGTTACTTAGTTTATCATTCTAAACATGTGTTCAAGCAAGTATATACTTACGTTAAGTAATGGTACATGCCGATATGTGTTGCATTGCTCTCAAAAAGTTTCTTTCCAACTTCGTAGAGAGGTCGCCATGGCAGCGTCATTTCTTCAGGTGATATCAAATGTCTTTTTCTGGAATTTAATATTAATCAAATAATAGATGGACGGCCTGATGCGTTCAAGCTCAATTGTACCAAAGTGCATTAATTTTAATGCCTGACAGAAAATTAAAAGGCTATTTAATTCGTAAATGGCAAATCCTTTCACCACCATGGCAAGCATTATGGTGTATGCCATCGATACGATAAGAAGATTCTTAAATGCAAGATGAGACACTATTTAATTTATCAAACTTTCTAATGAAATGTAAACATTTCCATAATATATCATACCGTTTGACCGTACCTACATTGTTTGTACTTTTTAAAGATTTGGCATAGAGTTTCCCGCCAAGTCGACGTGTTAACGTGGTAATTTAAGGTGCATAGTAAATTAAATATAATTCATTACTGAAAACAAATTTGCAGAATGACTACAATCACTAATGTGCCAAGATACTTAACGATTATAACGATGCTTAAAAATGTATCTAAAATAAAACTATTATAAATTTATTATTACTATTTACTGTACGCTATAACGTACAGCGGAGTAATAATAAAGTACAAGTCCAAGTGAGTACAAGGCCATTGACTGCATTTCTTTGTGAAGATTTAAAATGTTTACATACAACATTGGAGGTCATCAAACTCATCAACGTTTCAATACAAATGAAAATAAGACTCAGTTGAAAACGCATTTCCATTTGTTGTAAAGATTTATTATCCCAGACAAAAAACTTATTAATACAAAGATCCAACACCAACAAACATTACTTCGATCCGGCTGGATTCGAACCAGCGCTTTCAGCATACCGTGCTTGACACTCTACCAACTGAGTTACGGAAAGAACCAGTAGACCTTACGAATTTTTCTACGTGCTTGTTGCAGATCTTTGGTTTTTAACGAACTTTTTGCCGTAGCGCCATCTGTGAGAAATCTATGAAAGTTTTTCTTCACCCTGGCACGTACCTTTACAGCTACCAGCAGCTGAATAGAGATGTCGCTTTGACAATTGCAATATTAAGTTTATTGAATATCACTATGTTATACAGCTATCCAATTCAGCCGGATCAAAGGAACTTTTATTAGTGCTCGATCTTTGTACTAATAAGTATAATAAACTAGTGGAGTTATTTCACAAAAAATAAGTAAATATCACGGTAGTAAAATATCGTGATATTCAATAAAGTTAATAGGTATAACTAGTCATGAGCGTAAGAAATTGCGTTTTTGAATTGATAGGGACAACCCTAGTCTAAGGAATAACGTGATTCGCCCTGTATTATGGCGCGATTGACTACGCTGCTCAAAATAAATGACAAATGGACATTTTAACGAGGCTAGATTGAATTTCGCCGGTTTTTAAAACGGTACGTCTTATCGGAGAGTATTGTAATACGGCCATGAACTGTCTTTACAATACATAACCGTTAAAACTTTATAAATGTTTTCAAAGATACTCTTGTTACCAAAATAGCTTTTGATTAATGACTAATAAAAATGTACGGCATCGTCTTGAGTTTGTTTTTGACTCTTTTAAAAATAACTAACTCATAAAGTTTCATGCGACAATAACTTTCGGAATCATGCAAGTCATTCATAAAGAAAAAATATACCTATAGTCCATTTGCTTAGGTACTTAACTAAATGTAAACAATCTTGATACATCTTTTTATTGAAACATATACTTTACATATCAATAGGTATAAAAATAAGCATGCAATTTCATATGAAGCTAAGTATTAGTAAAAAATGTATATTTCATTAAATAGATATCTCAAGATTGTTTACATTTAGTTAAGTTCCTAAACAAAAGCACTATAAGTCAACAAAATTAAGTTATGTATTTTCTATACAACTATTTTGTGCAATTTAAAAGTGACTTCTTTTACCTAACAACGTGAACAACGATATCAATATTATAGCTGTTATAGCACCCTTCTGTAGGAAATGAAACTATTTTTTCGGATCTATCATAATTATATTAATCGCATAATTATTTATTTTTTTTCGTTTCGGGCCCTTTATCGGTCCCATGGTCACGGCTGATTGAAATGGTAAAGTCATCAACCAGTTGTCTAATATTAATGCAAAGCACCCTATTTCTCACTATAGTTACAAAAGTTATTAATTATAATATCTTATTTTTAAATTTTCCAAAGAACATTCCAATCTACGCTACAAATGATTTTATTTTAACAATATGAATTTTTATGAAATGAAATTTAATGTTATTAATGAATTATGACTTTACGTGACATGGCATTTCAGTCAGCCGTGACCATGGGACCTGTAACCGCACTCAAAACGAAAAAAAACACAACTGCTGTATAAAGTACGCATAGTTGTGCCTTTTTTCGTTACAAGGGCAGTTTCGTTACAAAGGGTCCGAAACTGTAGTTTGTTGGAAAAAAAACAAACATATGCGTTTTAGATCTGAAATAATAGTTTAATTTCTATATGTAACAATCGAGAAAACCTAAGAACTCGATAACACCCTTCTATGTAAAGTTCATCTGAAACTTGTCAGTCTTTAATAAACTTTTCATCAGTACATATACTTACTTGGTGAGCATAAGGAAGAGGGTGGCAAACTTGTGAATTTTGCAGGGCTCAAGATCTGGCACTAGTACTAACTCATAGGCTAATTTTACAAACGCAATGTGGTCTTCCTTGCTAAACTTCAGCCCGTATATTCTGATGTACCTGTACAAAAGATAAAAAAATATACAATTTACTGGGGGAATAGTTTTGCTAAAAGTAGATTTTACTAATAAAGGACCCTTATGGGACCTACCCCATTTGTCGTAAGTGGACATCTAGTTATACTCAGGAAATAAGTGCTCAGCAGTAAAAGCTAAAAATAATAATAATAACGCAAGATACTCATAGTCCCGCACTAGGGAAACCCTGTGTTGCGGGTGCCATGGACACACATATAGACAACCACAAACGACACCCAAACTCGCGAGAGAAATAAATGTAGGCCATACACATACTTCTCCCAGCCTGGGAATCGAACCCAGGACCTCTGCGTAGCAATCCGGCATAGTAACCGTTCGGCCACGGAGGCAGTTAATTGAAAAAAATGGACAAAACTGGTTTCAATAGTTGGGCTCAATTTACATCGCTGCGGAAAGGAATGGAAGCGAAATTTTGCAACCATACCATGACGTCATCATGTCAATTGTGTAATGTACAAAATATATACAAGCTAAAAAACAGGGCGCCAAGTCTGCTAGTTTTCTTCAAACCACTGGTCATTGTAATTCCACTGAGTTTATATTGCAATTATGATAATATTTGTTATTCTGCTAAAATCTAATTGCAATGGCAGTTGAGTCTCAATAGAGTGTCAGTGGAATAGCAGTGATGACATTTCTTCGTTCAATCACTAACGATCTACGTGGGCTGGGGTTCCACCCCTATGTGGATATTCCCAGGATTCGCACAAAGCGTTTCGCTTCCACATTTATATGGCGAGCGGCTGGGGAGTGGAATACCCTGCCTGCAGACTTGTTCCCCGAATGCTATAACTTGGATCTTTTCAAGGCGAGAGTGAATAGGTATTGTTTAGGTATGCATGCTACATCCTCGACCTCATCGTCACTTTCCATCAGGTGAGATGGACGTCAAATGCGCATCTTTTTTTATATATGAAAAAAAAAAAGATCGATGTCGCCTTACTAAAATTATCATGGAAATTACTATGCATATCTTATTTTTTATCTCGTTTAATAATTTTAGTCAGCAAAGCAATTTAGTCTTCAAATTAAATGGTTTTTATATGTCAAATGATTTGTAGACTACGTCATCGATGTGCCATCGACTCGCCATTGAAGAGCAGATTACCAAAAAATGCAATGGCTGTTGAATAGTGGCTGGATGGCTAGCCACTCGCAAGCCGCCACCACCACTGTTAACTTTTAACAGAATACCAAACATACAAAACCCTATAGGAAATGAAACTATTTTTCCGGATTTAAATCGCGTATATTTGTTTTTTGAAACATTTGACTATAGTCAAAGGTGACCACGGGACCTGTAAAGGACCCGAAACGTTGGATTTTTTACGCGATTTAAATCCGGAAAAATAGTTTCATTTTCTATATGTAACAATCGCGAAAACCTAAGAACTCGATATACAAAAGCCTGCCATTGACCTTCTATCAACGATTTTGAGAAAATTTAAAATTTGCAAAAATAATTCTTGCCCAATCTCGGGAAATAATAATACACTTCATTACGCTATGTACAAATTTCGTTACAAACATTCGATTCCATTCCGTTCCGCGGCGATGTAAGAAATCCATTTGAAACAAACCTCACTGCATTTTAATAGGACCTTCAACTTCAGGATAAATAGTCTACAGTGGTTGGGATTGAGGGAGTTAATTCAGCTAAACTAAAGAATAATGTGGACATTCCCTTCTACAAATCCCGGACTTCTCGGTACTGGTTATATTTGATAATGCGTATTATTTATTCAAATTTGAGCACATTGCCAATAAATTATTACTTCCAAGTATATGCAATAAATTATTGTCTCAAAAAATAATATTGTAGTTGTGTTTCTATACATTTTAATTACGTATTTAAATACTTTAGCGATTAAAAGAATAAACATGAGACAATCTATTATTTTGGAATGTTTAGAAAATAAACAGTAAAAAAGAATTTTTACACGCATTGATGACGAAATGGTTATATCCATACTAAGAAAACGTTCATACTTTAGGTAAATTAACTCCCTCAATTCACATCACTATTACTATGTTATTCAAAAGGATAAACATTTGTTTATAATCTTTGTTTTAAGATCCTTACAGATTTGCTCGATTTTTTGACGATCGACATTTGCGATGAGATAAGTTCAAGTAAATGTGTAAGCAAGAGACGATCGACAACGTATTGTTTGTCGATCGACACTGTAGAATTTAAATGAAGCGTAGGTGCATACAAACTTGTTCCATTGTAACCTTGATATTTATCGATCGCTAATAAGTGATAGTAACGACCGTCAAAAGTCGATCAAATCTGTAGATACCTTGGCAAGGGACATTTTACCTAAGAAATTACATTTGGATTCTCATCATGTTGGGTTCAAAAGTATATTTTGAACTGATAGCATAACGATGACGTCAATATTAGCGCCTAGCGCCACAATTGCAATAGTAAAATGTAACGCAGGTCGAGCAGTTCTTTAAATAAAACGTTGAAATGCTCCACATGTTTCTATCAATATATAATTTTATTATTTAACCAATCCTATAGTAACTAAATCAATAGTCTGCACAATAATATAAAAACAATATATTTCTGTCTGTCTGTGGGATAAGGTCAGGTGCACATGATAGGAAGTATTGGAAGTCAGCCAGGAATTCTAAAAACAATTGCCAAAGGTTACTCAACTGTTCAGGGCTTAATTTAATTGTAATTTGTGTTGATAATGAATATTGGTGATTTCAAAATACTTCGTGTGTTCGTAAGTTTTGAGACGCAAGTTATATAAAAATTGAAATAATTAAATAATATTTTTAAAGTTTTTTGATAATGCTAGTAAGCACTAACCAACAACTGCCAGCAATTATTACCCATAATAACCACTTCTATTTCTAATACAAGCTCTTAGACGTTGTGGCCAATCTTGGGTCGCGGTACGGATCTTTTCCAGCGGGATACGGTTCGCTTCTTTGAGGAGGGCTCGCTTTAGAGAATCCAACTTTGGGTGGGACTTTTGGCAGGCTTTGAGCTCCAATTCAGTCCACAGAGAATAGTCAAGTGAGTTAAGATCAGGACTGGAGGGAGGCCATTTGTGCCAAAACGTTTTGTTCCCACCATCATGAGAAAAATAATAGAAATTAATTTAAAAATCCACCAATAGAACATAAACATTCCAAATTGAAAATTAAAAAAGAATTAAGCAGCTGCCAGTATTATTTTGTTTTATTTTTAAAAATCAACATTTGTCTCAAAACTTATGATCACACGAGGTATAAAAGTGATGCTTCATTGACACTGGTGCAGGTTTACCTGAACGTTATTACCAAGTAAAACATAAATGTTCAATAAATATCCAGATAATTATTACAGTTATCTGGTTTTAAAATAGAGCATTTGTCTTTTCCTATTTTTTAACTCATTAATTCATTAATGTAATTTACTTTGGGGGTATTAGCAAATTTAACCTGTCATCCTAGAGACACATGGTGTCCTTAGCACTTTTGGTATTTTTTTTAATTTTACAAACTTCTTTATAACTTAAATTTTTTTTCAAATGTTGGGTGACAACAGATGCGCTTGAAGAGTTAAGTAAGGAAAGAAGGATACAGAAGAGACCTTTGAGAAAAAATCCACTAAATAAATTGTGAATCAACTTGCACTTTGTGCAGTGTATACTTAATTATTTAAAAAAATTTAGGATGTCGCTTTCCGATTGGACGACCTCCATGATCGAGTGGCTTGCACTCCGATTCGATCTCTTAGGTCCCGGGTTCGTTCCCCGACTGGATCAATGTAGAAAACTATCTTTTCTATATTGTCTCAAGTTTTTGTGGTAACGACGTTGTTTTGTTATTGTTTTTCATAACACAAGCGCTTTAGTTACATACTTTGGGATTAGAGCAATATATCACAATGCTATTGCAATAGTGTCGTAGCTCAAAATTGTGGAATTGAGAAAACACAATATGAAAATTAAAAAGAAATACTGAATGGATCTTGTTAACTGCCTCTGTGGCCGAACTGTTACTATGCCGACTGCCACGCAGAGGTCCCAGGTTAGATTTCCGGACTGTGAGAAATATTTGTATGGCCTACATTTATTTCTCTCGTCAGTTTGGGTGCAATATCTGGCTGTCTATGTGTGTGTCCATGGTACCTGCGACACAGGATTTTCCTAGTGCGGGACTATGTTGAGTGTGTCCGTTATTATTATTATTGTGAATAATGTGATTATATTATCAAATTATGCTTTCTCAATTCCACAATTTTGAGTTATGACACTATTATAATAGCTGCGCAATATGTGATGTTGTCTAATATTTATGATCATAAGAAAAGTTCTTATTAACATTACCATTTTGATCCCTAGTGAAGCCAAGTTATAATATTTAAATATACTTGGTCTTAAGACCAAGACTAAACCATAGGTACTACTAGTGGTAAATCATGGGTATTAGTATAAGTAAAGCTCCTTGTGAAAGTGTTCATTCAAGGCACTACCACCTTACCTATTACTAAGCTCTGAGTGACACCAAGCGCACGACTTCTTCGTCCCGACACTTGGTATCATAAAAAAAATACTAAACATGAGTAAATTTTCAAAGAGTTTGTGTCTAAATTAAACCTGGAAACTTTGATTGTAGGCCACAGTGTTAGACTGCTCAGCTATCAAGATCAGCTAAGTATATAATTCTATTCTTTTGGACTATTCTGCTGTACACTTCTGTTAAAATATGATTGTCCTGTGTGAAAATAGTGGGATCCGCTTGTTTTTCATATGCAGCACATTTAGTGCAAAGTATAAGTGTAGTTTATTTGAAAGGAAATTAAGAGCACGCTCCTGTGCTCCTAATGAGCATGTATATTTGCAATTTTACAATGTAGTTATTGTAAAGATTTTTATAAAATTACTTATTAATTTTACATTTTATTGATTATTTACTTTTTAAATTCAAATTGGTATTTTCAGAAATTTGTTTAACCAAAACATAATTGGCAAGTGACACTCCTATAACAGCTTTGTAATAATGTGGCATAACTGTTTCAATTGCATTGTTTATGATACTAGTGTTGAATATCTGCATGTAATAAATATTGAGATTACTTTTATTTTACACAACCACTTGTAGTAAATGTTTTATGTTTTAATACTTCTCTAAATACTTGTGGCATGCAGTTTTCATTTAAAGTACTAACCAAGAGCTATGTTCCAAGTTGTTTTTAGATTTTTCACAGTTGTATTTTTTTACAAAAATATTTCATATTTTTAAAGAAGGCCCTTTGAAAATATTGTTGAAAAGAATTATATATATATAATATATAATATATAGAATAGAATATTGAGATTGATGGAACAAATATAATATATGTATAATGTTTTAGCATTCATACTGCGATCTATTAACTAAAATGTGGCTAAGTGACAAGTGGTCAAATATCTGTTTTAAGTAGCATGAAATAGAGCTGAAAATTATCTATTTAAAAACAGATAAAGTTAGTTAACATGTCGGATATATCGGAAGTTAATGAATGAATTCAAGATTTCTTTATATTTGTTTCTAGGTTTACGATACACATATCAGCACCAACATTTCTACTCAGTGCAAGAAGCATGTCGGGCAGACATGTCAAAACTAAAAGGGTTTCTTGTTGTAGACTACAGAACTGTAACTATTATTTCCACTTTAATATTGGTGTAGAATTATTTAAACCATTTTTTCTTGAATAATGATTGTACCTTAAAATTAAATGAGATGGTCATTATTTAAGTAGTATATTGATACTTTGAGGGAACAACACCAGATGGCTGTTTCAAGATAAGTGAAAAACAAATCTTGACAAATTAAATAAATATTTTAGTACATATACAGATTCAAAGAGTTTGAAATTTTGACCCAATCATGTCTACTGACGTTTATTTTCTATAAAATTGGCTTTTGCTTGACTTCACTGTACCTGCAATAGTGTAGTCAAGGTGGCATTGAGTGACTTTCTTTTGAATGAAAAAGTAACATTATGTTATGTTGATTATTCATTCTACAAGTATATTGGATGTAAAAACTCAACCAATAGACACAAAAACACTACAATGCTCAAGTTCGCTTAACTTCTAGTGACACAGATGCTTTAACACCTGCAGTTGACAGACTTATGACATACATGTAATATAGCATGTTTGTTTAATATTTTAACTAATTTAGTGACATATTATACACAACAAGTGCTATAGCAGACTACCATAGTATCCCCTAGAACATGTGCCAAAAAACTAGTGATTTGCTGAAACCTTTGTCTAATAGATACATAGTTTATTGAGAGTTGGTTGGTCACTGTCAGCTATTTTTATGTCAGTATTAGGTATAAAAAATGTGAAAGATGACTTATAATTATTTGATGAAATTTATATCAATACACAATATCTTCAGGAAAATCTAGTGAAATCTAGTGAAATCATGACGCATGAAACCTTCAATATAAAAGAATAAAACCCTTACTTCATTAGTCTGGATGACCAGGCACCACAGGCAGGTTTCATCTCACGTAACACAACTGCCTTAGCCAGGTTGGTCTTAACTTGCTCGAGAAACATCTGCGACTCCTTATCGAGCTCATCGGCGTACGGCAGAAGCCGGTTAGTCACCACCTCCTGCTGAGGCTTGAAGCCTAGTACCTTCGCCCGTTCTGGGCACTCCACCAGGACCTCGAATTCGTCGTCCTGAATCATTTTGTGCGACTCGACACCGAAAACCACTAGTTATCAACCTATGTGTCCGCTAACGTCGACATGAGCGCGGCAAGTGTTTACACGTTGTACTTGTAAATTACGTTTTACTATTATTGTTCCGTCATCAAATTGCACAAGTCATCGAGAGTATTTTATTCTTCATGAAATCCAAATCTGTAGGAAGTACGTTCCATTTCACGAATTTTGACAACTATTATACATTGCCATGCGTCATGGTCTGTAATTTTTGTGACGTCACAGTTCTTTTCGTTCTACGCATTTTTATTTAATGTTTGATGATTTAGGACTCGCCAACATTTTAGCAAGAGAATATAATTTTGTCACGAGTCACGAGTGTGGTGAGTGGAAGCCCCTGGCCTCTACCTACACCAATGGGAGACAGGCGTGATTGTATATTATATTATTTATTTATTATATAATTTTATTTATATTTGTGAACCACGCTTTAAAGGCCGTTCTACATTCGTGCGAGTATTGTTAACCGTTGTATATGACGAACAAGTGTTTGTCGCAAACCAAATAACGATGTTGTCGACTTAGAATAATAACGCATAGAATGATGGTTTCATATCAAACGAACTGTCACAAGTGAGGCAAAAATCTAATTCATGTAGGCTAGTTTTAGTAGTAGGTACGTTAATTTTCGGTTTTAGTGAATATTTATATAAAAATACAAGTTGAAACGCGTTACTTCCTTGTGGAATGTGATGTTAGTATCTATTTTATGTTTGTCTGACGTATTTTTACACTCATTTACCGTACATTTCGTCATTTTTAGCTAAAATTCTGGAGCTGTTCGCGGTGCAAGTTGACCTTGAGCATTGAAGGCCCGCCTGCTCGTGTAGGCCCTTTAGGAGCGCTTCAATTTGCCTCACTTAGCGTGTGCGGGCTAGGTTTCTATGCGTTATTATTCTAAGGTTGTCGACATGTTAATTGACATTGTAGAAGTAGTTTATAGTGAAATAGTTTGTATTTTATGCTTTAGGTTTAGCGTTGATAAGTGACTCGCATTCTTGTCCAGTATACTTCCCTCCCTTTGCGCCACAGCCGGCGGCAGCAGTCCGTCCGTACTATGTGTCCATACCAACTCTCTACTCGTGTTTTATGATAAGAATTCTAACGAATGTAATTAATTGGAGTAAAAAATTAAATCCATTTTCGAGTGGACGTTCATTTTTATTATTTTCCTGCAATAATTTTAAAATGTTGAATGGTATATTATCACATAGACTTATAAAACGGCCCATTCACTACCTGAATGGCAGTCCACCGCGCAGGCAGGAGACTGCTCACACACTATTCTGCATATGTCCACGTATGGAGTCTCGCTGGTCGCATTGGAGGATTGCTGGATAGCATGCACGCTGCGACTGTAATACTGGGTAATGAATGTTGGCGTGTCGGCTACTTTAGGGCTAGCGCAAATCGGAAGACGGCAAGGCAGAGGACATTAAATGTGCATGTTTTATGTTATTTCAATAGAAATAAGGTATACATTGCAATACTTTTGAGACCGAATTCGGAACATTGCGGCGCACTTCCCTCTGCGTCGCAGAGCATTGAAATTTACACTTTATTTCAATTGTGATATATTAAATTTAATGTCCTCTGTGATTGAGTTGAATGTATGTACTAAATCACCTAAAATAAGGGCGTGGATATTTTAAATATCCATATTATTTAAATACAATTTGGTTTCACAAAGAAGTCAGTTATATTAAAAAAACAAATGAAATTTTATTGTGCTTCAGTTTGTTGGGTTGTCCATGATTGTTTTTTTTCACCTCAGGTATGTTCTCCACAAAAGCAGTTCGTCGAAGAGGTTCTTCCAAAAATAAATACTTTGCTGACTTGACTGCATTCATTGAAAGTGACACTGGTCCAAACCTAGTGGCCGCCATTAAAGAAATAATGGCGGCCACTGATAATAAAAATAGGTACATAAAGAGGAATAAAAAAGTGATAGGTAATTGAAAAGAGTCCCGAACACTTTGCTTTCCTATCTGCCGGTTTGCGCTGGCCCTTAGGAGTTCATTTCGAACATGCTATTTATTTAACATCAAAGAGTACATTAAACACGTTAACATGGCCAACATATACAATGAAATTTAGAATGCGTTAGTTTTTTTTATATCACATTTTTATGTAAGTAAATTATATGCAGGAATCTGTGACCAACATAGTTCGTGAACCGTGGTTGTGATCGTGCCGACATTTGAGATAAAAAACTTTCTGCCTCGAATACAGTACATGTTACAGTACAAGGTGAAAATGTTAGCCAAACCACGCGTACTATTAATTGCAAGTTGAACATCATCGTGTTCGCTACGCGCTACGCGAATGTCGCCAACTTGCCATGCATTTCAAATTTGTCGAAAGTTAGGTAGTGCTTCGTGTCAAAATTAAACGAAAATATATGAATAAAAGTATACAGGTTTATCTGTAAAATACTAAAAAAGTCCCGGGACTATATTACTAACATTATAAACAAAACTTGTTCCATGACTTTTCACTAAACAATAAATTTACTAAAAATAAACTTTTGAACATTTGTTGTACTATCTGGTACTTTTTAGATCTGTATTAGGGTAATAAGTTCCAACGTGCAAGCGCCCCGACAGACGAAATCCCACCTGCGCTCCTGCGTTTTACATCGGTATGGCATTTACGCTAGCGCATTCTTTTGTTACTGCAGCTGCACAGACTTATCAATTAAAATGTGATGAATTATTAAAAGTCGTGGAACAAAAGTTGTCGTTTATGATGTTAGTAATACATAGTAATGCGAGATTGTTAGTATTTTACAAATACTTCTGTATATGAATTAGTATCAGCCAATACAGCCAACATAAAAGAAAATATCGGACGCTATTCACGACGAATATCACTAACATTCACCAAGTATAATCGCGATTTTAAAATCCGCAGAAATCCATGTCTTTTGTTTTATAATAATTCTACTATGCAAAAGTAAGCAAGCAATTTTTGATAAGTTTAAAGAGAGTGCACAAAAAAAAATTAAAAAAATTGAAATCATTAGCTATAATTCTTAAATACAATAACAATGAGAGATCACATTACAGCACACTTTAATGCTAAGGCACGTTAATTACAATTCCATGTTACATCTTCAAGATTTAATAACCATGAAGTTTGGTTTTCCCGCGTAGGCATCGCCAATCGTCACACTGTTCATCGCCATCAAATAATTAGTAAGCACCACAAACTACTAATACAAGACCGCACCGCGTACGTGTCATATGTTTCGTTTTACTTCAATAGTTTGGGGTACATTCTGCATTTAAGGGGCTGAATTTAGGTACAATCACAGACATATATCTAGGTAGAATCCGCAAGTGTACGTACTTCGCGTGCCCAAAGTAAGTGAAATTCACTTACTTGCCGCTGCTACACTTCAGAACACGCTCGACCGTTATCGTAGACAACACCAGCCGAAAACGCAAAAAATGCGTAATTGTGCCATTATACACTGCAAAAGCACTATAAATGTGGGTAAACGGGTAAACAGGAACGTTTCCTTCCACGGGCAAGTGAATTTGTAATTTTTTTTTAAAACAAGTAAAATAAAGGACTTAACTATCTTATTCTAGTATTCTTCTACTATATTAATTTTACGACTACTTGTAATCAACAAATATTTGAACAAAAATCATTCTATTTGGAATCAATTGAACGGAATACGCGTATTCCGTTCAATGAGTCGATTTAGAGCGAGTGGAAGGAGGTTTCCATCACTAAATAGTGCTTGTGACGTCATAGTGGGTATAAAAAATGTGGCACGCTTGGTTTTCATACAAATTGCTGTACTTGCGGCGTCTATCTAGATATATGTTTGTGGGTACAATGATGTTGTTGGGCGGGTTGTTTAATATGTTCCTTGTGTAACCGGTTGAAATTCACTTAAACTAAGTTCTTTTAACAACAAATAAATTAGATTAAGCAACGGGTAATAAAACTAGTAACGTTTTTTTCAAATACAAAAATAATCAGAGTTAACACTTGCAATATAACTAATAGGCAATTTAATAGGTAAATTACAAGTAGGGCTAGCACGACAAGATACGACTTGCGTGACAGCGACATAAAACGCGAGATACTAGATCCCGCGTACAGTCCCGACTTGTGACTTTCATTTATTTCCAAAAATTAAGAACCAGTTATGCGGTCAACGATTTTCATCACATGAAGAGGCTGCCGCAGAGTATGAAAAATATGTTTCAGAGTTGTCACGGAGAAGTGGCATAAATGTTTCCAAAATTGGTTCATTTGCATGAAAAAGTGCATTAACGCTAACGGAGAATATTTTGAGAAACAATAAATTCATTTCTGACCATTTATAATATTTTTTCTTAAACTCTCTGGATACTTACAGTGCGCCCCACATATAATGTATCGATTTTATAAGTAAATCAGATTATGCACAAGGAACACTTACAATTACGTAATAGATTGTAGAATTGTAGGTATGATTTCGCAGATGACAGAGTTTATAACTCTTTATAGCACAAAGAAAAGATACATGAAACACAAGTTATAAAGGACATATACAAAGGTGAGCTTATCTCTAGAAGAGATCTCTCCCAACCAACCCTAGCCTAGGTGAAAAATGAAGTCTGCGGGACTAATTAGTGTACAATAAAATTAAAATTTAAATGTGAGTAAAAAAAATTTATTAAAAGATATACAGCGTGTTAGGGCACGCACTGTACAAACTTTAAGGGGGTGTTTAGTATTCAATATTATGTGAAAAACACTAATATATGTGGGGTCAAAACTCAACTCCCCAGGAATGGCAGCCATTTTGATTTTTTATACTTAGTTTGCTAAACGTTTGTTCTAAAATTATCATATTATGAGAAGTAAAAGCAGTACGAACATAAAAAATATTTTTTCGGAAAGCTAAGATTAGCGGCAATTGAATAAAATATCTGTCATGTACATAAAAAAGTGAGGGATTGCATAATAAAAATAATGAATGTAAATTTTTACCAAAAAAACTGCCAAAAAAACTAAGTTTTTGTAATTTAATCCTAAAATAACCAAATTAAGGTACTGTTTTTATGTATGAATTTTAAAGTATTTCAGCTGTTCTTAAAAACACGACAAAAATCATAATCCATGTCCA